CTTATATAGCATCTGGTCTGAGGTTCATCCATTAAGAGGAACCTTTATGTTGGCAACGTACAGTGTGCTGTGAAAACGCCAGCTGTTGAAAGGAGCAAGGCTTCTCCTATTACAGAAGTCACGCTGAGAACAATGGCTGGGGGGAGAGATCACGGTCGTAATCTACAGTCCTGAATCGTGTCTGGATCTAGTCCAGTGTGCTGTCATGGCCCGCTGTGCTGCCACACCGGTCTGGGCACCAATCATACAGTACAAGAGAAAGCCCTAACCTCACATTTATCTAAAGCTGTCAGTGACTGTTTACATAGACATCAGTTATCAAATGATTGACCTTATTCTGACAATAATATGATTATGATGTTGCTTTCAGAATGTTCCTTTCATGTTCCTGTTTTATTTGTTTTAGTTTAGTGCAAATATGATTTTCCCAAAATGATGTTTAAAGGAGCAAGGGCATGTTCACAGTTTTTTTCTATATCTTCTTAGAAAAGTCTTATATATTTTAGTTTGACAAAAAAATTAAAAATAAAATAAAAAAAACAGTTTTAGGTCAGTGTTAGTAGCTTTTCTCTTTTTTTCCTCGATTGGCTACAGAACAAACCACTCTCATCTAATAACTTGCCTAATTTACCTAATTTGGCGAGTTAATCTAGTTAACCTAGGTAAGTCTTAAATATAATTTTAAGCTAAATTCTAATATCTTGCAAAATAACTCTCATGCTGCGTTCACACCAGACACGGAACGCACGTCAAGCGCGAGTGATTTACATGTTAGGTCAATGCAAACGCGCGAATAGACATCCTGCTGCGCGATACGCGCGAATGGCGCGAGGCAAATTGAGCGTTTTGCACGTTTGACGTGCTTAACGAGTGTTTCGCGCGAATCTCTCGAGTTCGAAAATCTGAACTTCAGCGTACATTTGCACCATGTTAACCAATAAGAAGCTTGCTCTTGTGGGGGCGTGATTGTGACGTAGAACCTGTTGTCAGTGTTCCGAGGGAAATCCTCCAGCCTTCACTGACAACAGTTCATCAAACTCGGCTTGGCTCAGTCAGAATCACCGCTGAAAGCCTCCTTCATCCAGGTTAAGTTTTTAGAGGAGTTTATGAGCTCACCTCTGAAAGGATGTAGTGGACTCAGACATGAACCTAAACGTATCGACGCTGTTTTTCAGTCTTCATAAAGCACATAAACACTGTTATTTTCTTCATAAAATCCATGTTAGCCATTTAGCTATGAAGCTAGAGTCTTCGGGCAGACAGAAGCCCTGCCCATCACGCAAATCCGCGTCTGTTCTGAAGTGAATTTGACAAGCGAATGAAGTGAGTAAACTCAAATGTTCACGCGGCAATTTACATGCGAATAGCACAATTTAACCGCGCGTTCCGCGTCTGGTGTGAACACAGCAACAAAATAGTATGTATTCTCACCATGTCAAAGACAAAATAGATTAGTTATTAGTAATTTGTCATTAAAACTATTATGCGTTGAACAAAATCTCTGTTAAATTTCACTAGAGGATTACTTAAAGAACTGCAGTTTTACAGGAGGGCTAATAATTTGGACAAATTTTAGATCAATTAATATCAATAGGCTACACCAGAGGTGTCTAAACTCCAGTCCTGGAGGGCGGTTGTTCTGCAGATTTTAGCTCCAACTTGCCTCAACATACCTGCGCGGATGTTTCTAGAAAGCCTAGTAAGAGAGCCTAGCAAAAAAAGCTGGTCCAGGTGTGTCCAATTGGGGTTGGAAGTAAACTTTGCAGGACACTGCAAACCCTGGGCTACACGACATCAAGTGACACTATCCAACGCTTCACTAAAGTTTTACACATCAACAGTTTGTGTTTGTAATGGTATGTGATAAATGTGTTTAATTTTTAATTCCACAGTTCATCACCTTGGAATGATAAGGTTCTATCTGTGTTATGAATGATTTTGAGATATTGAGCTTCAAAGTTTTTGCATTCCATATAGCAAAAAATGTGTGTGTAACATTTGTTTTTTTTAAATAAAACATCTTAAAATGTAAACAACTTTTTAAGTAAAAAACTGTAAAAATGAAAAACACACAATGTAAATTAGTTGTCATAATAAGAATATGTCAATAACTCAATTTTGACAAAAATGTCAGATAGACCTTATTATTTTAAGGTGACAAATTGTAGTTAAATTATTCTTTATGTGCAAACTTGCAACTCCATATACAAATTCTCCTGCAACAGGCCTCTTCTGCCCTTTCATTCAACATTACATACAGCCTGTATAAAATTGTGCTCGATGTTCGGTGACGGAAGGTGTGACGAGTTCCCAGGTGTTTACTGTGCATACAGCTGTGCCCTTGGAGATGTTGGTGGCACATCCATCCTGTACCAACTCAATAGAGGTGGAGAATATAATCAACAGGCTGGCAACTGCCATGTAAATGCTGTGCGGCGATAATAGTTTGGTTAAATTGTTAACATGTCAGCACTGCACCTTAATAGTGTGACTAAAATAGGAATACTTTACATGTCTTAATTTATGATAGTTTTCTGCTGATTTTTCCTTTTACATTTTGAAACAAGCAAACAAAAAATTGGCATATATATATATATATATATATATATATATATATATATATATATATATATATATATATATATATATATATAAAGTTGAAGTCAGAATTATTAGCCCCCCTGGTTATTTTTCCCCCAATTTGTTTAACA